GAGGATCTCGACCCCCCGCCGGCGAGAGGGACCCCGTTCTCGTTCTTGTTAGGTTCAATGTCTTAGTTGGGACTGTGTGGCGGCGGCGATGTCTCTTAGTAGTAGGAATAATGTCTCCCACGTTCTATCCCCGCCCCGATGGTCTATCTACCATCGTCGGAGGGCGTGTCGAGGTTTGTCTCCGTCGAATCTCGCGAGATTCGGTCGGTGGTGGTCTTCGGTGGATCTGTTTAGATCCGGTCTTCATTCGTCCTCGTTTGGGTGTTTACAGGTTTGATCCTTCCGATCTACAACTTTCTTCATCGGCGATGGTTGCTACTCTGGTGCGCTGGTCCTATGGGGCCTTAGCACGATGACTTCCCGACTGTCTACTACAAGAAGGTTTGCCCAGCTCTTGTGAGGGAGGGGCAATGACGGCGGCGCGCCTTCGGTTCGCTCCAGTGCTGTAGTTATCGCTAGGTGGTCCACAGACATGGTTGTAATTTTTATTACCTCTGTTGTTCTTTGTACTGACATGATTGAAGGTGAACAGATTGGAAGTTTCTCGTAAAAAAAATCTGTTGATTGTACACGCAAAAAGAAAATATGTTGATTGTCTACTAAACAGAAGTGAATACTCACTCAGCCAAGTTGTTTTACTTTTTGGCTAGATAATATATGCTCACTTTAAATTTTCTTCTACAATTTCAGGAAGGTGGGCTGGGTTTTTCCGTAGAGCAAGCACACGTAGAGACCTCCTTTGCTTGATGTTTCTTTGTCAATAGGACACCTCACACATGTGCTAATGGACAAATAGTAATACTGATTTCCTTATTTGTGATACTTTGAGGAGTACTTGTGTGCGATTAATTTCCTTGTTCTATTCCCAATCCCTAGCAATTTAGTTCTGACAATGTATAATTGCAGTCTATTAATGTTTTGAACAGTTTGCTAACAATTTAGGGATGGCCCTCTGCTTTGTCTCGATTCTTCTATGCAATTGAGTAAGATGTGTATGACACACACTCATTAGGTACTAACCTTCTCAACGTTAATTATTTCTAGATGCTTGATTTAGTGTGTTGGAATAAACTGAAAGATGATGAAGTGGTTGATTCTGTTAGAAAAGGTGGCTGAGAAACGATATTGCATTATCTCTATCTTATTTGGAATAATTTTCTTTCTTATCATTACATTCATCAATTTATTTAATCAGCCACTTTGCTCAATACAACTGTTATCTTCTGTTGTGGTTCATGGTTTTTTGGCTTGCGCGTCAATTATTTCTTGGCCAAGGTAAACATAGAAGTTTTGGATACACCATTCTCTAGACTGCCTAAGCTTACCACACTATTAGACTGGAGAATTTGACACTCCCATGATTCCAAATGTGTATGTTTTATTACTACAACCTGATTGTATGCCATTTCCTAATTTTTTGTATGTATAGATAAACCTTCTCCGGTTTGCAAATTCCTAATTTTCTATGTAATCCAAAATGATAATCACAGCTATACTCACCTCCTGTTGTTTGCAAATTTTGTGGTTGTACAGTTTTACCAGAGCTGAATGATACAAAAATTGTATCTTCTCTTATAAGCAATACACTGCAAGATCCTGATGGACTTATTGATTGTGAGGGAGGTGACTAAAAGACTTCAGGGCCAACATAGAATTTATAAATTTGGTACAACTGAAGATAAAAGGATGCTTTCGCTTGAGTTGTTCCAATAAGTTAACGAAAAAGGCTCGCGCCCCGCTTTATAGATAAAGCCAATGCCAAAGCCAACATCCACAAGGTACACACAAACACAGAGTCCACACGCACAAGAAGTCCAAGCACGAGCAAGCAACACGGGTTACTGCTGAGGGCACAGCTCAACAAGCCCAACACACACAAACAAAAAGGCACACGCGCCAGGAGTGAGACATCCCCTAGTCGGGCTCCGGGGGTGGCGGCGGGAGCGGAGGTGCCAGGCGGAAGGCCAACGAACGGAGGTCGGTGAGGAGTCTGTCGATGGCGTCCCGGTCCGGAGGGCGGCTAAGCGGTTACATGATAGATTTCTAAATTTGGTACAGCTAAAGATAAAAGGATTAGTAAATTAGGTACATCTAAAGCCACTGAAGCCGTACTACTTGCTTTGTGAGAAATAATGATATATGTGCAAACATCCATCGTGTACATGATGGCAATGATCTTTGTGTTTTCTACTGGTTAATCATTAATTAGTTTAAGCATAGTTAGTTTCGAATGAGTTTACCCGTTTACCGGTCATGTGATTACCACATGGTCCACGAGACCTGAGTTATATTTTTGTTGGCAAACTGTTTAGCTGTGATGCAAGTTCATTTGATTGCCAAGCTATTGTCACCTGATGGAAACTGAAACCTATGTGAACTGTATATGTATCACTGCAAATCTACAAACTCTTCTTCCACTTCAGTGCCTCATGTTCCCTCTTTGCTTGTTGGTTATGTCTGATATTTCCTATACCGATTCATCTGGGAGGTTTAGCATTAGCTTTGCTGTTCTTTTATTGATAGATGGAGCACTGCCCCTACCCTCTATGTTGTTTCATGCACCAGATAAGCTCTGTAAATATGATGCCAGATTTTACGCTTGGAACTAGCTGAGAATTTATAGTTTGAATCTTTATACATGATATAGTAATATGAATCGATTTATTGTTTGCTTCACAGGTACCCAGAACTACATAAGGCCTTTTGTGCGCACAATCATGAGAAGAAATTTATCTGACAACAGAATAACTAGGAGAGAACAAATAATCCTGATGTGCAACCGTTTCATTACCTATGCAACCGGTAGCCAGTAGCAATATCTTGGAATAGTATCTTCTGTCGACTAATAAAAGCATCTTATATCTATAATACCAAAATAGTTCATCCCCACCATCCTATTTCTCTTGACATGCAGCCTGTCCACATCAGCAAGCCAGCCACGTCATCGTTTCACTACTGACTTACAGGACAGACCGACAAGGAGTTTACCAGCGTAAAAAATGGCCACATCAGCCCTCAGTTACCGGTTGGGAGGATGGACCATCGGCCCACTAGGGAGTACATAATTAGTCATGTTTGTTTTAATTTTCTATTGGTTGCAGCTGTGCTTGATGTGTTGCTGGTTGACAATACAGGCACTGACATTTGGAGATCATCCTTAGTGTCAGATTGGTCTCATGTTCTGTCAAGAGCTGCTGCTTGTGCCAATCACATTTAGCTGTCCTCCAATGGACAAATCATGTTGGTTATTCATATAAAGATAGAAAATGAATGAGTGTTGCTGCTGTTTATCTTGGATCATGCTTGCTGCATTTTTTTGGTCATCTTGACATAACGACAATATCAAGCTCTTTGTTTGGGCATCACACATGTATGTGCCTCCTCCATCTTCACAGCACATGTATATTGCCATTGAATCCAAAATTGAGATGCTCTTGATTTACTGTTAGTTCATCAAATAGTTTATGTTGTGCTCTTCGTTTTGTTCATAAAAGTTGATTTATTGTTAGTTCATCAAATAGTTTAAGATGCTCTTGATTTGAATGTGTGCTTGATTAAAATCAGTTGTACTGGTGTCTGTAATGTTAGCCCTAAAATCATCCGAGCTTTACAAAACTGTCGGCGGGAGGTAAAGCTACAATTGGAACAAAAATTTCATTTAGCACCAGCCTGTCATATTAATTAGAGTTAGTTGACAATAAATGTTACATTGATGCTTTGTCCTGATTGACCATTGCATGTGTCTTACGAAAACTTGGATTGTTTTGATCTTTTTAAAGGTATAGAATTTTATAAGAGGATGGAATTTTGTATTTTTCTTATGATATATACACGAACTAAGCGCTAAAAAAACTGATCAATTTTACATCAATATGATAAAAAGGCGGCGCAGCAACGCACGCTAGCTTCTAGTCATTATACAAATGTGTAACAAATAAACGTCCAAGTTTCACTAAACCCAAAAAACAAACCGTGTAAAAAAAACCAAAAACAAAGCTTCCAAATAGGTAGATACTCAGATTGCAAAATCCAAACATAAAAAGCACTAACACTTCTTCCGATTGCTCGACCGCAAAAATATAAATACACACATGGGCTTCTCGACAGGCGCGGCGACACGCAGAGCCTTTGCCCGCTAGTAATCTCTTAACTGGTCTAATAATTTTATGCAATCTCTTTTGTACTCATGCTTCATTTATCTACAAGTTCTGTAATGTTTAAAATAGAAATGCACTTTATTAAGTATATGAGAATCTAAATCTATCTTGAAACCTGAGTTATGTTCAATGTAGACGCATCATGTCTACAAATAGTATTCTTGCATAAGAAACAAGATGATGGTCTCCCTTTAAAGTAGCACTAGCAGATAGCAGATCCAGAAACAAGAGAACTACAGAATTTGCAGGCTACATAATCCAACAGATGACATAACGATTAACTTGATAATTATTCAATAGAGAATCAGTTCCACAGAAACAGAATTTGAAATTTGAGACTTTGATACAACCCAAGACCACCATAAGAATACAGTTTGCATGAAAGCAACAGGAAAAACATGAAGAGGAGCTTGTTTAAGTGCCCCGTACAACATTAAACAGACTCTGTAAATCGTCATCATGATTCATCTTATTCATCCTTTGCCTGAGAGAAACATTCATGATCCATTGAATAAGGTAGGCATGAGTTTGTAGACAATCCAACATCTTATAAGGCTTGTAAGCTCGCCTTAGGAGTAATAGGAACAAGGCTTGCAGTGTAATAAAGTAGTTCAAACACACATAAATTTTCCCATGCATGGCCCAAGGTATCTTCACTGGGCCCAAGGAACCTTTGGTCACCCATATCAAACGTATCCTCTTCTTTTACACCATGAGCTTTCATGTAATAACGGATAAGACAATCACCTCTTCGTAAGAGAAACCCACCAGTGATGCTAAGTGAGGCCACTGGACAGCAGTGATCTGAGACATTGATTACATAATGGCAATCCCACTCCGGATTCACAATATCTCTTGCCATCCAGACCAATACTCGTTGCACACACACTTGCTAAAGAAAGTAGCACATAATTCCCCATCAAGCTCATGGAGAACAATATCATCATCTTCAACTGTAGGGTACACGTTGTTAAGCAATGGAGTGATACCAAATGTTTCATCTTGAAGGCAGAAACGAAGCAGCGCCTGCGCGGGGCATCGCTGATTTTTCTTATCTATGAAATAGAACAGGGAACCCTTGCAGTGTATGGCAGTTTGCGGACACACAATAGGGTATGGTGGATCCAGCAACGTTTCCCTCCAGTTGCCCTCTTCACCATTAATAGTGAAGACCTCCATCCCCATTGCAACAGAACTGTAATCACCGGAACGGTAGAAAGACCGTGCAACCTTGTATGTTCCGGTGGAAACATCAAGGCCCAAACCAATTGGAAGGCAGCTTGGATGCTGCAACATATTGCGGTGGCACCTGGGCAGCGCAACAACATCTCTAGTTGCTGGGTTGAAGACATAAGTGTTGGTGTTTGTGGGGAGCAACACCAATCCATCACAGTGTGCCATTTGTGACACCAGCCCAAACTCACCAGTGGGGAACTGCCTCCCATAAAGGAGTGTTGCACTACTACTGCTCCTGCTCATGTCATCTTGTTGTAAAGACCACAGGTAGAAACGGATGTTGGTGGAGAAAAGACCGGAAGGATTTGGTTCCAGATAAATCTGGGGGGTGACGAGGAAGGAAGACGGGTTGCGATGTTGTTTCTCTTTGGAGCACTGGAGGTGCGCACGAACAAAAACAGGGTCGGAGATGATAGCGTACCAGGCCTTGCTAACCAACTTAAACCTCACCAGGGACTCTACGGGCAGCCGGATTAAGATCTCCCACACCATCACGTCCAACAACAGCTCGCTTATAGGCTGCAAACTCATCGCCCTTTGCTTCCTTTGTGGCACACTCATCGTCCTTTGCATCCTCTGTGGCATACTCCCCGTCCTTTGCATCCTCTGTGAAATCCTCTTCTTTATTTTCCTCACATCATTAGCCGGCATTTTTGGAGAAGTACCATTAACCCTCTTCAAGTCCATGCAGCAAGAAACAAAACAAAAATATAACTAGGATCTTAATAATCTATCTATGCAATGCACGGCACTGCCTACGCTGACATGAATACACATACATTGATAGATACTGATAATACATTGATATATATAAAGATATTTGCGTGTTTAATGTCCGAATTCGAACATGGTCTCCCTGGTCTGTTGGGTATCTTTTCCGGACACGGTGTCCGTCTTAGTATAGGAGTACACACGCACCAAATTACGTACGCCCTTCGATCCGAATTCGAATCGGAGGGAGTATTGTTTTTCTTTTTTTGTCAGCAACAAAGGAATCAGTGAGATCTGAAACCTCAAAGTGACTCAGATCCGGTCAAAAGCTTTTTTTTCTCTCAGAGAAAAATATAGTGAAAAATACAGAAAAAATGTTTAAGGTGTGGCGGAAATTACCGGAAACATCCTTCTATTGCCGTTGGTATCGTCGCCGTCCAGCAGACTGGCCATGGCTGCAAGCTCGATTGGAAAGGGTTTGCGCGTGGAGGCGCAATTGGGGATCGGGGGATAGCGGCGGCGGTTCGTGAGCTTCAGGATTTCAGGAAATTTATCGGGTAGGGTTCTTACTGGACCGTTCCGTTGACTCGTTTCACTTGCCCAGCCCACGCACGTCTTGTTAGCGAAGCCCTCTCTCTCTCATACGAAGCCATTCAGCGCACGGATAACTTGGCCTGGCCCAACTGGCTGCTCTTAGAGGAACAATGCTACACTTTTTTAAAAAACTGCTACAGTTTTCTTTTTGTGAGAGAAAGCAAATGCTTTATTAATAAGACTTTTTTTAGGATGCTTTCTTACTAACTAGCAAAAATGCCCATGCGCGAACCAACCTGTGATTGGATGGTTAGGAGGGCAGTGGTATCCCCAGCCCACCAGGGTTCAGGTCCTGGTTATCACATCCCGGATTTTTCTCAAATATGGTACGTTAAAAATTTCACAGGGAATTAAAAATTTTCTAGGAAATACCGGTGATTGCCTGGGATTTTTTGAAATTGACTTTGAATTACTTGATCGTTTGCCTAGAAGGATGTAAATCCAAATGCAACTAGTGAAACCCTAGCAAGCCTTGTAGGAACCCAAGCCATTGAAATATTGTGGGGAAAAGTGTTTTAAATAAGTCCGAAGAATATCCAAGCCAAAATCATTTCCTTAAAAGAATTTGAGTTGGTTTATTTTGAAATCAATTCAAAAGCCAAAGGGAATTATTAAAAAATATTTTTGTCTTTTATTTGCCATTTTTCTAAAATGAATTTGAAACATATTTGGTTCCAAAACCAATTTCAAATTAAAAAGGGGAAATATAAGTGCAGTAAATATATGCCCAAAATGCCCCAATAAAATGTACAACTTTCAGAAATACTCCATTTGGAATTTAAAAAATGTTGTCTTTTGGGGAATGAATTTCAAATTCAAAGCCTACTTGAATTCACAAAGAAAACAGAAAGACTGAAACAGAAAAGAAATAAAAAGAAAAAGGCCCAGCTGAACCAGCCAGCCGGGCCAACCTCTCTCTCTCTCTCTCTCTCTCTCTCTCTCTCTTTCTCTCTCTCTCCCTCCCTCTCTCTCTCCCCAACCGGCCCCACCGATCAGGACCTCCTCCCACCTCCAGCACGACCCCACCCCACTACGCCGCAACCGTCGTGCATACACGCGCACATGATGTTGGAAATATGCCCTAGAGGCAATAATAAATGTATTATTATATTTCATTGTTCATGATAATTGTCTTTTATTCATGCTATAACTGTATTATCCGGAAATCGTAATACACGTGTGAATACATAGACCACACTATGTCCCTAGTGAGCCTCTAGTTGACTAGCTCGTTGTGATCAACAGATAGTCATGGTTTCCTGGCTATGGACATTGGATGTCGTTGATAACGGGATCACATCATTAGGAGAATGATGTGATTGACAAGACCCAATCCTAAGCATAGCACAAAGATCGTGTAGTTCGTTTGCTAGAGCTTTGCCATTGTCAAGTATCTCTTCCTTCGACCATGAGATCGTGTAACTCCCGGATACCGTAGGAGTGCCTTGGGTGTATCAAACGTCACAACGTAACTGGGTGACTATAAAGGTGCATTACAGGTATCTCCGAAAGTATCTGTTGGGTTGACACGGATCGAGACTGGGATTTGTCACTTCGTATGATGGAGAGGTATCTCTGGGCCCACTCGGTAATGCATCATCATAATGAGCTCAAGGTGACCAAGGTGTTGGCCACGGGATCATGCATTACGGTACGAGTAAAGTGACTTGCCAGGAACGAGACTAAACAAGGTATTGGGATACCGACGATCGAGTCTCGGGCAAGTAATGTACCGATTGACAAAGGGAATTGTATACAGGGTTTGATCGAATCCTCGACATCGTGGTTCATCCGATGACAACATCGAGGAGCATGTGGGAGCCAACATGGGTATCCAGATCCTGCTGTTGGTTATTGACCTGAGAGCGTCTCGGTCATGTCTGCATGTCTCCCGAACCCGTAGGGTCTACACACTTAAGGTTCGGTGACGCTAGGGTTATTAGGAAGACTAGTATGTGACTACCGAATGTTGTTCGGAGTCCCGGATGAGATCCCGGACGTCACGAGGAGTTCCGGAAGGGTCCGGAGGTAAGGATTTATATATGGGAAGTTGTCAAACGGACATCGGTAAGGTTCGGGGTCATACCGAGGCCACCGGAAGGGTTCCGGAGGTCCACCGGGTGGGGCCACCCCTCCCGGGGGACCACATGGGCTACGTGGGGCAAGGAGCCAGCCCCTGGTGGGCTGGGCGCGCCTCCCCACCTAGGCCCATGCGGCTAGGGCAAGGGGAGGGG